GAGCAGAGGTACGGAGGGGAGCGAAACGGGCTGGCAGCTGTGTATGCTGTAGTCTTTTTCAAGCGGGAGATACAAACTCCCAACTACTCTTAGCTCCAGTTCCGGGCGAGACTCTGGGGACCCAGACTCATACGGGGAGAAACTGGACTGTCTGGCATCGAGGCCAGCTTTCTCACAGAGGTGCTCGCAGCATACATTCTTCCTGCACAGTGCTGTGGGTGCTGTGGGACACAGAGACCCAGGAACCTATCGGGGCAACCAACCATTGCTGTTTGAACCTCCCTGTGATTCCCTGAGACCCCACCCCACCTAATTTACAACCCCACCCAAGCTGTGCATAGAGGCTTTTGCATATGAATGGCCTGGCATATTGCAATCTAAAATCTAACAAACTGCAGCTTGGTCAAAGAACCCCAGAGCTTCCAAAAGAAGGTCCAAGGCTTGTAAGCAGCCTGCATTGCTTCACAGCTGGGCCTCATCTGCGTACCTCCAAACCCCAAACAAAGAGGAAGAATCTGCAGATCTCTCTGTAGCTCCTGCTGGATGTCCTCAGGCAGTGGCTGACTTTGCACCTACTTGGAGATCCAAGAGCCAGTGCACCCAGTGGTCAGTGAGACCACACCAGATTACAACTCTTCACATCCATAAGAGACACACTTAAGGAGCAGACTTGGTGAGTGCAAAAGCTCCACTGAAGCAAGTCCTGCCCCATAAGGGTGTCTCTAGCACAGCAGTTCTCCCATTGTAGACACAGCTGGTCCTCCGAGCCAATTGGCCTGGTGGTCAATTTCTCCCAGTGATACCAACAGCATTCAAGACTTAACTATAACAAGACTGTGTGCACAGCCCACAAAGGGGTGCACCAAGAGTGTCAACCTCAGGTAATAAGGGAGGCTGAGCCACTGGGCCCTATAGGACACCTAGCACACAAAAGCCACTCTATCAACAGAGGGAAGCAGCCAAAATGCGGAGACAAAGAAACAGGTCACAAATGAAAGAAATGGAGGAAAGCAAACTACTGGATATAGAGTTCAAAACCACAGTTATAAGGTTACTCAAGAATCTTCTAGAAACCTCCAATAAATTTAGTGAGACCCTCAAGGATATGAAAAAGGACCAATTAGAACTTAAGCATATACTGGCTGAAATAAAAAATATACAGAGACCCAACAGCAGACTAGAGGATCCCAGAATCAAGTCAAAGATTTGAAATACAAAGAAGCAAAAAACACCAAACTGGAAAAGAAAAAATCCAAAAATATGAAGATAGTATAAGGAGTCTCTGGGACAACTTCAAGCGTACCAACATCCGAATTAGGGGGGTGCCAGAAGAAGAGAGAGAGCAAGATATTGAAAACCTATTTGAAGAAATAATGACAGAAAACTTTCCCTACCTGGTGAAAGAAATAGACTTATAAGTCCAGGAAGCGCAGAGAACCCCAAACAAAAGGAATCCAAAGAGGACCACACCAAGACACATCTTAATTAAAATGCCAAGAGCAAAAGACAGAGAACCCTAAAAGCAGCAAGAGAAAAACAGTTACCTACAAGGGAGTACCCATAGGACTGTCAGCTGATTTCTCAACAGAAACTATGCAGGCCAAAAGGGAGTGGCAAGAAATATTCAAAGTGATGAATACCAAGAACCTACAACCAAGATTACTTTACCCAGCAAAGCTATCATTCAGAAGTGAAGGTCAGATAAAGAGCTTCACAGATAAGAAAAAGCTAAAGGAGTTCATCACCACCAAACCAGTATTATATGAAATGCTGAAAGGTATCCTTTAAGAAGAGGAAGAAGAAGAAAAAGGTAAAGATACAAATTATGAACAACAAATACACATCTATCAACAAGTGAATCTAAAAATCAAGTGAATAAATAATCTGATGAACAGAATAAACTGGTGATTATAATAGAATCAGAGGCATAGAAAGGGAGTGGACTGACTATTCTTGGGGGGGAGGGAAAGGGGTGTGGGGGTGCGGGAAGAGACTGGACAAAAATCGAACACCTATGAACGAGGACATTAGGGGGGTGGTAAGGGCATGGGGTGGGGTGGGAGCCAGGTGGAGGGGAAGAAAAAAGAGGAACAACTGTAATAATCTGAACAATAAAGATTTTTTAAGAAACACCATAGAGATAATTGCGCAAAGATGGGATCATGAAATGAAAACTTCCTACAAAAAATTTGCCTGTTTGCATATTGAGGATGCCACCGCCCAGCGAGGTTTCTTCCACGTCATTCTTCTGGCAGAAATCCTATAATTTGGCAATATTTGCAACTGAACTTTGGAGGGGGTCGCTTCTGCCATGCTCCCAGACACAGGTCTGTGGAGCTTCGTGCTATGGGATGTGGGCTGTAACCTCATGAAACTAAAGTTCGAGGTCCCAGGAGCAAGTGCTTCCTGGAGAAGGAAAGAAAAGTGCCCAAAAGAAATGGCTTCATACATGACAGGGTCTGCCCCGAGAGAGTCACGCCCGTGCTGTGCGCCATGGCCCCGTGCTGTGCTGTGGCCTATCAGAGCATTAAAGGTGACAGTGCTTAGAGGTTCCCTTGCCTCTACCTGTGCAGTATTTGCTAAAATCTAACCTCACGAAAGCAGGACGTGCAGCCGGGCGTCTGGCAGGAATGACGTCCTGCTGCCTCGGGGCAGGCTGTGATCCCAGCCCAGGGCCACAGGCAGGGCCAAGAAATGGGGGTTGAGGGGGCACTTAGAGAATGAATGCTCTTCAGAGGAGACACAGAGCAACTTCTAGGCCTTTCTAGGACATTTCATATCCCATGATGCCTCATCCCTGGACACCCAACTCGCCCAGAATTAATGGAACGGATGGATACTGCAGAGGACAAACAGAAGTAAAAGAGGGAAATGAGGAACACATTATCTGGTGGCATTCGCCCAGAGAGGAACGAACGAGGTCTCCGGCGGTTGCTGATTCCAAAGTCGTCGCACTGTCGTATCTAATAAAGATAGAATATGCAAATTGACCATAACTTTGCAACAAAGATGGTGGTGCCCACAGCCAATTAGGAGGGAATATGCAAATTGATGCAACAAGGCGAGAGGCAGCTCCAGGCCAGAGTAAAAGCGGTGCCGGCAGCCAGGGGAAGGAAGGCCTATTCTTGTATGAATCTTCGTGCATCGGGCCTCTAGCTGTAAAATAATCTACAGATCACTTCCTATCGGAAAGAGCAGTGATGTCACGAGAGAACAGTGCTCTCCTCTGCCTCCAGGAATCTTCCCAGTGGACAGTAAAGGAATAGGAAAGGACCAGCAAAACAGAGAATGGGGTTGGGGATGAAGTCATGATAATTACCTCTGATTAAAACTAACTCCTGGGAACACAGAAACATACACAAAAGCATGAAAGTAACACAACGTACTACACAGAACTCAGCTGTGGACATTGCGTGTCATATTGAAGGAGGGCTGCTTTTACAAAAATAAGTCTTAAGCCCGGCTGGTGTGGCCCCATGGTGGAGCATCGACCTATGAACCCAGAGGTCACAGTTCAACTCCCTATCAGGGTACATGCCAAGGTTGTGGGCTCCATCCCTAGTAGGAGGCAGCTGATCTGTGATTCTCTTTCATCATTGATGTTTCTATTTCTCTCTCCTTTCCTCTCTCTGAAATCAATTAAAACAAAAAACAAAAGTCCTAGAAAGTTGACACTATCTATATGCATGTATGATTTTGTTAAAAAAACAAATAGCAAAAAAGAAAGAAAACTAAGCAAATGAAAAAAACAAGGCAATAATCTCTAGAAAAAACAAAACTCTTACAAGAAAATGTCACGGGAGTGCTATTTGGAATTGAGCCCAGTTACAATTCAGTGTGCGAAGCAGACGCGAACACAGTGTGTGAGGGGCAGCTGTGTTCTCCACTTAAAAAAAAAAAAAAAAAAACAAATAGCAAAAAAAGAAAGAAAACTAAGCAAATGAAAAAAACAAGGCAATAATCTCTAGGAAAAACAAAACTCTTACAAGAAAATGTCACGGGAGTGCTCAGGCTCACATGACCAATAGTTACGCGAAGCAGACGCGAACACAGTGTGTGAGGGGCAGCTGTGCAGGGTTGTGGGGGGGAAGGCACACGCGCCAGGTCCCCATGTCTCAGTGGTTCGTCCATGGCTAACATCTAACATGAGTCAGTCAAGCAGCAAGGCAGCCAGGTTCAGACACGAGGAGAAAGGGGGGCGGGTGCCTCGGCTGGGGGAACCGAGGGCTGAGGTTGGGGCTGCACTGCTCATCAAGGCCCTTCAGTAGTGCTTGACATTTATCAACTATGGCCGTGCTATTCCCTGGATGAAAACAAGGATTCATCTTAAAAATAAGGAGCCCTGCCCGGCTAGTGTTGGCTCAGTGGTTGAGCATCTATCTGTCCTATGGACCAGGAGGTCATGGTTTAATTCCTGGTCAGGGCACATGACTGGGTTGCTGGCTAGATCCTCAGTGTGGGGTGTGTAGGAGGCAGCCGATCAATTATTCTCATCATTGACGGTTCTCTCTCTCCCTCCCTTCCTCTCTGAAATCAATAAAAATATATCTGGAGCCATGGCTCAGTGGATACAGTGTCAATTCCCAGTTGAGTGCACCTTCCTGGGTTGCAGGTTCAATCCCCAGTCAGGGCACATGCAGGAGGCAGCTAATGGGTGTGTCTCACATCCATGTGTCTCTCCCCTTCCTCCCCTCACTTCCACACTCTCTAAAAAACATCAGTGGAGCCCTGGCTGGTTTTCTCAGTGGTTAGAGTGTCAGCCTACGGACTAAAGGGTCGAGGGTTTGATTTACAGTCTAGGGCATGTACCTTGGTTGCAGGCTAATCCCCAGCCCTGGTCGGGGCATGTGTAGGAAGCATCCAATTGATGTGTCTCTCTCACATCAATGTTTCTCTCTCTCTCCCCATCCCTTCTATTCTCTCTCTTAAAAAAAGGAAAAAAATATCCTTAGGAGAGGATTATACATACATACATACATACATACATACATAACATGGACCTCATCCTTGCCTGGGTGGCTCAGTTGGTGGGAGCATTGTCCCCTGCAACCAAAGGTCACCAGTTCGATGCCCGGTAAGGTCACATGCCCAGATGGCAGGTTTGGTCCCTGGTTGGGGCGTGTGTGGGAGGCAACAGATGGATGTTTCTCTCTCACATTGAATGATGTTTCCCTCTGTCTCCCCTTCCTCCCTAAGATCAGTAAAATAAATTAAAAAAATAAAAGGACCTCAACTCTCCCAGGACCCTCTTCTTCCCATTCGGCTGTCCCCAACCCAAGACTTCGGAGGTGGGGTGGGGAGGGGAGGGGGCCTGTGCCTCGGGCTCTGCAGGGGTGCAGTGCTGACCACAGACGGGCACCATGAGAAGTGCTGGAAACAGTCCCCCAAGGCCCACGGGCCCCTACGCAGCACTCCGTGGCATGTGTACAGTCTGTGCTCTGAGGCCTCCATGCCCACTCCTAATGTCAGCCTCTAAACTGTAAGCACTAGGTAGACAGGAGACAGTTCCTGATGAGGAGGGAATTGCGCTCCTTCTGTCTGCCCGTGTGGTGCTGTGAGGATGAAGCAGTGTAAAAGCTGGCTCGGGTTCGGGGCCCGCCAACGCTGCCCGAGGAGCGACACAGGCTCCCCGAGCAGAGGCCTGTGGCTGCTGCCAGGGCCTCCTGTGCTTTCAACTGCACGGTGCAGCCAGGCAACTTTCATTCCATCGTGAAATTCACTGCCCACTTATATTCACAGTGAGGCTCATGCCGGGTGAAGCGAAGACGCACCGGGACATGCAGCAGAGCACGACCTGTAAGTGGGAAGAAGTGCGTGTCTGACCCCTGCTGCGTGAGTTGCCCGACGGGCGTCACAGGAGGGGCTCCACCTTTTCCGCTCACTCTCCTTCATAAAACCAAGCAGAGACCCCTGCCCTCCTGCTTCCCAGCACAGTGCCCGCCCGCCAGGAGGGCTCCTTTCCCGCCTGCTGGGGCCAGGGGGGGCTCCTTTCCCGCCTGCTGGGGTCAGGAGAAGCTGCGGATGGGCCCCCGCTGGGGAAAAGCAGCACATGGCCCTGGGGAAGGGCACGTGCTGGGGAGCAGGGAGGGCACCCAGGGACGGTGAGTGGTGCTGAGAGGCAGATGGATGGCCCGGAAGAATTCATCACCAATACCCTGTGGCCATCACTGTGATGAGAAGGTAGAAAAAAAGGTAGGCGTGGGGTGGAAAGACATCGTTCTTTATAAATAAAAGGCTCCTCGGTGTCAGTATTCACATTAGAAAAATATACCTGCCTTGAAATAGACCCTCTGCATAAAATCAGTCAGTCGGCTGCGCTCCGACTCCCTCTCACGGGAGGGCTCTGCGCCTCGGTCTCCGGAGGAAGCCCTCCCGGCGGGCCTGGCTGCAGGGCAGGCCGCTCTGCTCAGGGCCATTGGACAATGCCCGCCTCCCAGACACTACGGCGCCCGGAGGGGCCAGGACAATCACGTGGGAAAACAACAGCTCCTGGCACCCGCTGGCGATCTCAAAGCCACGGCCTCACCCACAGCGATGACGCTCTCTGGTTCCCTCTGGTCAGTGTGTGGCCGGGTCCCGAAGGGCAACTGGTCCAAGCCCCGCACGTGGCCCCGAGACCCACCGAGCAGACAGCGGAGGCCCGGCTGGGACACGGGGCTGCAGGGACAAGACTTTCTCCGGCGGAGGGACCGCAGCCGTGTGAGCAGGGCCTCACCGGCACTTGGGGTCTCCAGCCCCGGCAGGCAGCAGGGATGCACTCCTCCCACGGACATGCAGCCGCAGCGGAGTCCCCGCCACCCAGGTTTGACCCCGGCGTCCAGGTCTGAAGAGGGTCCCTGCGCACCCTCGGTGGGGCTCGCTGCGGCCGGCTCCGGGTCAGCACCCCCGGCTGGGCTGTCCAGGCTGAGCGTGAAGGCCCGGCCCACTGACATCCCACGCAAGGGGGGCTCCACACACAGGCTCCTGGCTGCTACCCCGGCAAGCGCTTTCAGCTGCTGGCCCAGCCCGTGCTGCTGTCGCCCGCAGACCTCGGTGTGGTGTGGCCTTCCTCACGCCGGGGTCAGGCGGTCCCATTGACTCCAGGGGCAAACCTTAAACGGCGAGGGAAACGGGAAGTCACCCGCGGGCTGTGTCATGGCCTGTGCGCTGCACTCATCATCCAAACAGGCTGCCCACGCGCATGTCCAGCAAAAGGAAAACAAACTCCTGCTGCCTGGACTGGAGCCCAGTCTCGGGAAAGCCTAGCCAGACTCGGGGAGTCCTGGGCCCCTCCTGGCACACCACCCACCACCACACGGCGGCTCTTTATCTCAACACGGGACCCAAGAAAACCTCCAGACCTCGAGATTCCTGGGGACGCATATGAGCGACAGAACGTGGGGAAGCCGAGATAAAGCTCTTGAGAAACGGGAGGGCACGGCTCTCTTAAATGTGGCCACAGGGGCTCCTGAGCCACAGCCGTGACCACACAGCATCTCACCCTTGCTGGCCGCCCGGGGACGCCGCAGGTGTTCTCTGGCCGCCGCTGCAGGCGGAAGCCTCGGGGGGCTCCTGGGGCAGAGCTGCCCTTCTGGGCCTTTTCGCTGAAGACAGCGTTTCCCCTGCGGTCTAGGGAGAGCAGACAGTCAGCGGAAGGGAGCTGCAGGCGGCCTCCACCCCCCCTTCCTGGAGCGGCGCTGAGAGTGAAGTCAAACCCAGCCGCCCCCCCCCCCCCCCCCCCCCCCCCGGCAAAAAAAAAAAAAGGGGGCCCCGGGCCGCGCCCCCCCGGGGGCCCACCTCGGTCTCCCTCTCCGGCGGGCTGGCCGCCTCCCGGCCGCTGCACGTGTGTCGGATGCCGTCTGTGTGTGTTTCTTCCTTGCGCAGGAATTCCTCCGTGATTCCCAAGGACTCAGCAACCTGAGGAGCACAGGGTGTAGGACTGAAAGCCTGCCTTTGAGTCTGCGAAGTCCCTCTGTACAGCGAGGCGCTGTCTGAACAGGGAAAAGTGAAGGTCAGTGTGAGGTGCAAGAGCCAGTGGTGAAATGTGGCTCCCAGAGCCAGAGCCGCTGCGTTAGCAGGTCAGGAGACACCGGCAAGGTTTTTAATAAAATTTAAAACACTCTCTTTCGTGTCACCACAAGCTTAATAACGTTATTCTGCTACCACAGCCGCTGTCTCGCCCATTGTGCCTCCTTTTCTGAATTCTCACTGGTACTTCAGAAAAAGAATCCTGCCTATTCCAGAACCACGTCTCCTTTCCCAGTCGGTGGACAGGACGCGGGTTTGGGAGGCTGGGAGCCCAAGCTGGACCCCAGCTTCTCTGTCACAGCCTGGCTGGCCCTGGCAGCTGCCCATGTGGGACCACAGCCGCTGGAGGGGTGTGGGGATGACGCCAGGTTCCACGTGAAGCAGCAGGTGTGAAGGTCATCGTGGACATCGATCGGCATTTACGCACGGACCGTGGAGAGAACACCAAGAGCATGAGGGGCGGCAGGGAAGCAAGGGCGGATCAAGGTCAGAGGAGAGGCCAGGGGTCAGCGAGTTTAGCATCCAGCGACCTGACAGTGTCCCCTTGCTAACAGTGCGGGGACTTTGCAGGCCAGAGAACTGCTCCGGGGCGTGGCAGTGGGAGGGGGCGATTCTCCCTGACCACGTGGTACACGTCCTCGCAGCAAAGGCTTGTATCCAAAAGAAACCAAACCAGGGCTTTTTCAAAAACATTTCTATCAGAAACAAATAAGCAAAAAAACACACAAAAAAGAAGGAAAAAACAAAACAAAAAACCGCATTTCTGTCAAGGACCCAAGATTGCTAAAGGCAATTTGATGACAATGACATTGAAATGAGAAATTTGTCAAAACAACCACAAGCAAGACCGTTGGGCTGTGTGTAACCCAAAAACCTACATAACGAAGGACCCTATTAACCGTGGCAGTGACTCCGATCAGCGGGAGGAGAATCGCGGTGTGGACTTCCTGGAGCTTATCTGCATGTCCGAGTTGCCTTCACGTGAAGAGAAAGTGACAGCGCGGCCGACTGCCCACGTCACTACGGAAATGCACGCTCTCCTGCAGAACCGCAGAACCGCTCGTCCTCCGAGCAGAGCGCTTCCCTTACCTCGGGATCCTTTATTTCCAGGGGCTCCTGAGAACGCGGGCTGGGGCCACGGAGGTAATCCTGACACATTTTTTTAACCATCTGATGCAACTCTTCAAACTCCTTGTACACGGCTGGGAACAAAGGCTGTGCTAGATGACCTTTCTCAACCTTAGTGAAGATAAAAACGAAAAGACGTTTACACCGGAGGCAATGAGAGGGAAAATACGGGAAGACGCACAGAGGGAAGGAGACCGCGCCGAGGCCTGTCCCCGGCGGGCGTTCCCTCCACTGCCCAGTGAGAGCCGTGTGCCCAGCACTGCGCCCGCAGGGCTACACGATGGGCCTGGGAGCGAAGGGGGCATAACAGGGCCTTCGGGGGGCCTCCTCTCCCTGGCAGCTGCTGGGAGGTGTGCGGTGTGGGTGCAGGAGCCCAGGCGCAGCATCAGAGTGGGCTCACCAGGGCCCAGAGCCCGGCTTGGAGGTACCCAGTGTGAGGGAGTCCAGAGTGGAGGAAGCCAGGGAGGGCGGGTGGGTAGGTGGGTGCTGGGGCCGTGTGCCGCCAGGGTTTGCTGCTACCCCCTCGGTGCCTCCCACAGAAGCTGAAGGGGAGACCGGGCCTCCGGCAGCACCAGCAGCCTCACCAGCTCTGTCCGGAGGGAAAGGACTGCAGAAGGCCTGGCTCCTAACCTAACGTGAAGGACGCCTTTCTAAATGGCCCCTGGTCATCCCCTGGACCGGGCAGGAACACTCGCCTTCGTCAGTAGAAATTCATACACGGTCACGGCCTGGGCCAGGCGGGGCAGAGCCAACTCCACGAGGTCCTCGAGCGCACACTGCTGCAGAACCTACCAGAAGAGAGCGATCAACATCTTTGAAAGCCCACAAGAATCTCCCATTAGCCAACAAGCTGCTGCAACAAAGAACATGAAAGGCATAAAGTCCCCCAAACCTCAGTGATGAAGCCACTCTACACTACGAACGCTCTACTTTGTTAACTCTCTCGCTTGTTCCCCATGAGCAAAATCCTGAGATCCACCTGGATTCAGAGCCTGACTCCCCGACAGCCCTGAGCGCGGAGTGGATACGAGTTCTGGATAAGGACATGGCGACGGGGAGACGCGCTCTCTTCTCTCCAGGGCTCCAGGCTCACCAGCCTGAGAGAACAGGCACAGAAATCCCAAGGCAGCCAGTCAGGGCCCCACCAAAGCACAGGAGGGAGAGGAAGAGGACCGGGTGACAGGCAGGCAGGGCAGGGAGGCAGCAGGGAGGGTGCAGTCCCCAGGGCTGAGTGATCGCTGCAATGGGGAGGGGTGCGTGAGGGGAAAGGAGAGCCATGGGTGCTCTGGGTGCCCGGCTGAGCTCTGGGCAGACCTGGCAAGGTGGGTGGGACAGGAACCAGCTGTGGGACCTTTGGAATCGAGGCTGAAGCGCCAGAGAGGTCTGAACAGGCGGAACAGACGTGGGAGCCAGCAGGGGAGCGCGGGTCGAGACACAGGGGGATGGACGAGGTCAGCCAGGGCAGCAATAGGGTGGCGGAAGCGGGGAGCCCTAGAGACAGGGAGGACATGGGGCTCAGGGAGGTTGAGGGGCCATCAACCGGAGCCAGTGGCTCAGGAAAGTCACAAAAGCAAAAGGAAGACCTTTCTCTGCAGGACCGGGTGACCCGAAAAGCCCTTAGAGAGCAATGACCAGCTGGTTTCCAGCACGCGGGAGGTGTGAGAGGGGGGAATGTGGGCATCGTCTCACCACACCTGGTCGACGGCAGCCAGGCACCTCCTCCTTCTCTGGCCGGTGTGGCTGTCATCTTTCCCCGAGTGGGGTGTCTCTCGCACACACTGTCCCCTCCACACCCAGGACAGGCCTGGTCCGTGCAGGCAGCAGCGTGTGCTCTAGCGCCTGGTTCCGAGGGCCTCTCTGCGAGTCAGGGTGCGGTCAGCAGTCCTCAGCTTCCCGTGCCACCTCGCTAACGTGAAGGACCACCGTGCTCGAGTCCCCGTCACACTGAGCAGAGAGGCCGCGCGTGGACACCAAACACCCTAGATCCAGGTTCCAGACCTGCCACCCCAGGGGGACCTGTGCGCGGTGCAGCCTCTGCAGTCTCAGCTCCTCACTGTTAAGTGAGGTAACCACCGTCACGGACCGTGAGGGGAGCGCACCAGGAACTCCGCACAGGCCAGGGCTGCGGCTGGGCTGTGCAGAGGGCCTAACCCGGTGGGGGGAGGCTAACTGACGCTAAAGAGTGAGTCAAGCCAAGGACTACCCCACCTCCTAGTCCTGAACACGAGTCACCCAGATTAATTAACAAGCCCCACCCCCTACCCCACAAGCCAGTTCACCAGCGCTCGAATTTCCCGCTAGAACCGTAACCTAACGGAGCTCTCTCGGAAGCCACTTCCTGTGAAACCACTTCCTCCCCTGCGTGTGGATCCGGTGTCTCGCTGACTGGCCTCGCGCTCTCTTGCTGGCTCTCACTTCCCTTAGGACATCCATCCATCCGCCGTGACCAGGCAAATACATGCGTCCTGGCCAAAGGCAACTTGAGTGAGTCCCACTTTTCCCAGTTAGTCCAGCTAGATTCAGTGCACTGCCCTGGCTGGTGTGGCTCAGTGGGTAGAGCGTCGGCCTGCAGACTGAAGGCTCCCAGGTTTGATTCTGGTCAGGGCACATGCCCGGGTTGTGGGCTCCATCCCCAGTGTGGGGTGTGCAGGAGGCAGCCGATCAATGATTCTCTCTCATCATTGATGTTTCTATCTCTCCCTCTCCCTTCCTCTCTGAAATCAATAAAAATATTTTTTAAAAAGAAGATAAATAAATAAATAAATAAGTTCCGTACAACACCTTCTTTCCGGGCTGGGTTGGAGATTCCCGGACTCAAAACCTGAAACATGCTTTTATATCTTGCAACTTATGACAGTAACAACCACAAAAACTACTTCTGTTGTTTTCTGAATGGCTTCCATGAAAACACGGGCTATAATTTTCCAAAACGTATAAAGGCAAGCAGCCCTTGCTGTAGGTAAAACCCTCTGGTCCGTTCAGACAGGTAAACCTGAATGGTTCCAGGTGAACAGCCTGGAATTAACTGTGGGCTCCAGCCAAGTGCACTCCAGGTGAACTGCCTACCGATCTGGGTATTTTACGTTCCAATTCAGGAGCCTAATAGCGAACGGCCACATTCCATGCCAAACAGGTCTCACCGCGTGTGAGAGCGACGTATCTCCTGGAGCGCGGCTCTGCTCCTGGCAGCTCGGCTCTGGCCCGCGGGGGCCGGGGTGTAGCCCCTTTCAGGCCCGGGGTGTCTCTCTGATTCCCAAAGGGCTGAGTATTGTTCATCTGCTGGTTCCGTCACTAGCACGGCTTCCACTTCTATAGGCTGACCGTTCTGGATGGTGTTGGGAGGGGCAACAAGGGGAGAGGAGGCGCCCAGGTGTCACTGCCGACGTCCCAGGAGGCACCGTGGGCCGCTGCCCCCGATCCCGACCTTTCCCAAGACGCGCTGTCAGCTGGAGTGCGCTGCGCACAGCCCGATGACCACGCCGGAGGACCTGGCTGCGCCGGACAGACACCTCCCTTCCCCGGCAGCGGGCCCACAAGGTGGGTCTCAGGTCCCCCAAAAGGGGACTTGGTTCTGCTCGAGCCTCTGCCTGAACCCCTCAAACACCATAAAGGCTACTTTAAGGGTGACGGCAGCAACAAGGACACTGCCACCAGACAGAAACCTCACCTGCAGGCCACCCCGAGCTGACGGGGCCCCTTCCGCACTCAGAGGAGCTGGTGTGGACGGTCCTGGGGACGTGGGGCCACGGGGCCTGCCCTCCGCACAGCCCCGGGCCATTCTCCCCTTGGCTTTCTCAGACAGCAACGGCTCCGGCTGGGGCTCCGGCTGGGGCTCCGGCTGGGGCTGGCCGTGGCCCGGCTGCAGTTTGAAGTGCCGGGCCAGCCCCCCCCTCCCTATGTATGACTTTCCACACGTCTGACACCTGAAGGCTCTGGGCCTCAGGGAGCTGCTCGGCAAGTCAAAGAGCGCCTGCTTGTCCCTCTGCTCCTCCTCCTCTTCCACGCTCAGTTCTGAATAATCGTCCGAGTCGGACGGGTGGCTGTCGGCCAAATCCTCCATCCGTATGAATTTATAATCTTTGGCTTTGTACTTGGGAGGTCGAGATATCCGCCCAGAACGTGTTTTCACTTTGAAAGGTTTTTTTAGTTTCTCAGTGTGTTTTGTATGCAAGTTGGAAATAAATAAATTTGCTGAACTGGAAGAAACAGATGTTACTGCTGGCTGGTCGGAGGCTGACTGAGGGGCCGACGTGGCGCCGAGTCCATTTGGCGCCTGGGGGGCCACAAGTCTCACCGCAGGGACCGGCTGGAGGGCGGGCAGTGGCCTCTGGAGCAGCACCTGGACAGGAGGCTGTGGCCGGGCGCTCAGGAGGGGCTGTGCCCTGGGCAGCTGAGGGCTGGCGACGCTGAGCCCCAACACGCGGCAGTGCCTTCCGGGCGGCTGGCTCGGCCGGGCTGTCCTGGGATGGACGGTGGCCAGCTGGGGCTTCGGCCTTTCCTGACCTTTCGTTTCTCCAGACGTTACCGTGACACAGATGGTTTCCAGTTGCTTTAAAAAGAAAAGAAGCATTTAGCTTATCAATGTTTCTGCAATTTTGCTCTCATCTTAAATCCACCATGGACATTTTTTCTACATTATAAAATGCACCCCGGCCGCCGTGTCTGAGTTGTTCGGTGTCATCCCGTGCACTAAAAGGCTGCTGGTTCAATTCCTGGTCAGGGTGCACGACAGGTGCTGGGCTCGATCCCTGGTCGGGGGTGTGAAAGCAGCAACCAATCAATGTTTTAGTCTCACATTGATGTTTCTCTCTTTCTCTTTCCTTCCCTCTCTCTCTAATTATCAATAAAAAAATCTTTTTTAAAAAAATATATTTTATTGATTTTTTACAGAGAGGAAGGGAGAGAGATAGAGTTAGAAACATCGATGAGAGAGAAACATTGATCAGCTTCCTCCTGCACATCTCCTACTGGGGATGTGCCCGCAACCAAGGTACATGCCCTTGACCAGAATCGAACCTGGGACCCTTCAGTCCGCAGGCCGACGCTCTATCCACTGAGCCAAACCGGTTTCGGCAATAAAAAATCTTTAAAAAAATAAAATTATGCCCAACCAGCATGGCTCAGTGGTTGAGCGGTGACCTATAAACCAGGAGGTCACGGTTCAATTCCCGGTCAGGGCACATGCCCGGGTTGCGGGCTCCATTCCCAGGTTGCAGGCCCCATTCCCAGTGTGGGGCAGGAGGCAGCCAATCAATGATTCTCTCTAGTCATTGCCATTTCGATCTCTCTCCCTTGTCCTTCCTTTCTGAAATCAATAAAAATGTATGAAAAAATAAAATTATAAAATGCATCTCAAAAATCTATGTAATAAAAAAGTCTACGTAATATAGGGTGTCCCAAAAAACGTGTACACACACTTTGAATAATTATAAAAGCAGTGCTTATTCAAATATATTTCATTCTTGAAATGGAGCCGTCTCCTGTTAAAGTGTTTATTTTGGGGACAGCCTGCATATCTGTACCGTTTATAGGGATGTTTCTGAACCTTTCTCGCCCAGTGATACATTTTGTCACATCCACAGGTTAGTGTGGAAGCATTTGCACACTTAGAAGTGCGTGTGCCAAACCCTATTGTTTTAGAACTACCACAGCACAAACATGGCCTAAATTTTTGATCTGCTATGGCCACTGGTTTACCATGTGGGTGCCACACGGGATACTTTGTTCCACGTTCGTTTCACTGAGCAGACTTTCTGAGTCCCTCTGGGTGCCAGCGTACACATCAGCAAAGCCTGCCTCCCCGGAGGAGGCGGGGAGTTAGTTTCCTGCCTGCCTCAGTCGCCTGCAGACGAGCTGAATTGGGACCTCCTGCCCTGAAATCTGTACTTTCAACAGCTCCACTGCTGTTTCTGAAGGCAGAGAGGTTCCCTAAGGAATGCAGACAGGAAAGCAATGCCACCTGCCACCTGGGGCAACAGGGGCAGTGGCTCCCAGGAGTGGGTGGCTTCCCAGAAGAGATTACCTCTGGGGTGGGGGGCCTTGGAGGCTGAGTAGAATTTTTCCAGGTGGGAAGGTATTCCAGGTGTAAGAAAAACAGGGCGTAGCTATTAGAGAAAGCTAGCAGTGTTTCTGCCGGGCAGGAACGGGAGGGACGGGAACAGCCTGACCGTAGGTGTGTGTCCACTGGGGCTGTGCCTCCCGATCCACACCACCCCACAGAGAACCCCCTTTTCTAAATGCACCCCCTGGCATGCCACTCCTCTTCCGCATGTTCAACGGCACCCCCTTCCCAATCTAGTGCGGACACCACCTCTTCCACAACCGCTTCTGACCCCTCAGCCAGAAACCTCTTTCTCTAATGCATTTAGCCCTTCCCCTGTGCCTCTAGCTTTCTTTTCTTTAAATATGTTTTTATTGCTTTTAGAGAGAGGGGGGAAGGGAGAAGGATAGAGAGAGAAACATGTGCCCTGGCCGGGAATCGATCCAGTGACCTCTTGGTTCATGGGTTGATGCTCAGCCACTGAACAACACCGGCAGTGTCCTCTAGCTCTCTGTGATCAGAAGCTATGAGTCCCGTTTTACCTCCCTGGTTAGAATATTGCCTCCTTAGGGGCAAGGGGCACATCTTGTTTGCCTCTGTGGCCTCCGTGGCACAGCTGGTGCTCCAAGAGTATTAGCTGAACAGGCCGCACAATTGCATTATTGTGATTTCAGGTAGAATTTATAGCCTCCCTTGAAATATTAATGTTTATTGCATATAACATTATTATATTTAAAATAATTTTTCTTGAAATATTAAAAAATATTTTTTAAATATTTTTTAAAAACCACACACACACACAAAGAATTTATATCCTTCCAATTAGATGAGCTACAGAACACAATCGCGCCTCCTAACTGTAGTTGTTTGCTTTCATGTGGTGGAAAATGTCATTTTTGGACTCTTTCCTAAGTTGTCACACCAAACCCAAAAGGCTGTGGCCACATTCAGCAGGCCCTGGAGGGGGACCCTGGGCAGTCACCTAACCTCTCTGAGCCTGTTCCTGGTCTGTAAACGCTGATACAGCTCAGCACGGGGCCAGGCTGGGAGCAGTGTGTGCAGGCGACAGCCACCCTCGCCCTCTGACTGCTCAGACGGGCTGTGTCCAGCGCATGCAGGAGGAAGCAGTTTGGGCAGAACCTACTTGTCTTCTCCAGCTTTAGCTAGACAACTCTCCGGGGTAGATGAGGAAGTGGGTACAGCTCCAAGAAGCCGAAATCACCGGGCGCGGGGAGGGGACTGTCCATTCTGTTCTCTGCCCGCCCGGGGGAAGCTGGGGTGAGGGGCGCCTGTCATTCACGGCCCAGTGCTGAAAGGGGACCTGGGCTTCGGGGGCTACAAGACCCTGTTTCATTCCCCACCTCCCTACTAACCAAGAGCCTGGCACCCTGGAAAGGATGCCACTGGGAAAGGCGGTTTTGTGGTATATTTTTTGCATATTTCATGCATGAAGGGTATGGCAGGCGCTGTGCTGAGCACTGAGTTACAAATCCAGGCGCTACTACTGCAGGGCGCCAAGTCCGCACCCCCCATCACAACGCCCTTAACTCTGCAGGCGGGAGGTTGAGCATCGACTAGGAGCCTGGAGGTCACGGTTCCAGCCCCAGAAGGGGGGGGGGGGGCGTGCAGGAGGCAGCCGATCAATGATTCTCTCTCATCACTGATGCTTCTATCTCTCCCCCGCCTCTGCCTTCCTCTCCGAAATCAATAAAAAATATACGTTTTAACAAAAAATGTACTTAATTCTGTCCTGAGTCTCAGCAGCTGCCACCGGAAAAGTTCTCGGCGTTGGCTCCTGGGAACCCATCCGGGTCTCTCGCTACCGCGGCCCCTGTGGCTCCCAGCACCTGCCCCGGGAGCGCCCGCCCGGGGAGCGCCCGCCGGGTGTCCTCTCAACGCTCGTCCGCGGAAGTGCCCGTAAGTGCGCATTGAACTGCAAGGCCTGCGGCGGCGCAACAGGACGGGCGGCAGGGT